AGGATGATGTCGAGGAGAGCACACGGGCCAATTCGAGAAAGCAGGTGGAGGACCCGATTTTACACAAGTCCTCGAATCCGTTCAAACCACGCATCCCTTTTTCGGGTTGACTTTTGGGATGAGAGACAAGAAAAGCAATTCTGGGACCTTTACAACATGCTTTCGAAAGTCAACGTCAACTTGCCACTTCTCGACGTGATAAAAAACATGCCGTCTTACGTGAAATTTTTCAAAGACTTGGTGACGAAGAAAAGGAGATTTGAAGACGGGGAAAAGGTAGTCGTGTACGAGGCGGCGAATGCAATGCACCACGACCTACCCAAGAAGGAACGTGATCCCAGAGGTTTCGTGATCAAAATAGCCCTCAGGAATGGGAAAGAAGCTTTGGGGATGCTAGACCTTGGAGCCGGGATCAACCTCATGCCATTTTCGATATTTCAACGACTCGGTCTCGGAGACTTGAGACCGACTCGTATGTGCCTCCAGCTTGCTAACCGTTCGATACGATATCCCATAGGGGTGGTGGAAGATGTGCTTGTTCATTTGGGGAAGCTCATTGTCCCCGTAGACTTTGTTATTCTCAACGTGGGAGAAATGCACGAGAATGGAGAGGATCACACGATCCTTCTCGATAGACCATTCATGGCCACCACCAACACTCTCATTGACGTGAAGAACGGGGCGCTAAACATGACGGTTTTGGGCGAGTCCGTATCCATCTCCGTCCAGGACGCCACCTCCACATCTTCGGTGAATTTTGTAGAGAAATGTGCATTTGTTGATGTAACTGACCCGTTCATAGAAGAAATAGCCAAACGAGAATGGGAGGCGAGGCACATACCCGACTTTGACGATGAAAAAGAACCGACCGTCGATCTTTTTGAAGCCGACCAGCCCCAAACACAACCGACCCTAGAACTCAAAGAATTACCTCGACACCTCAAGTATGTATTCCTCGATGATAAAAAACAAAAGCCGGTAATCGTTTTCGCCGAGCTTGCGCAACATGAAGAGAGAGAGCTACTTGAGGTGCTCCGAAAGAATCAAAGAGCCATCGGGTGGGGCCTCGGAGACCTTAAAGGCATTAGCCCCTCCACGTGCATGCACTGGATCGTATTAGAAGAAGGTGCTAAATCATTTCGGGATAGCCAACGGCGGCTTAACCCGAACATGATGGAAGTGGTGAAGACGGAAGTTCTCAAGCTTTATTTCGAGGGGATTATTTTCCCGGTGGCCGATAGCGAGTGGGTTAGCCCCATTCATGTGGTGCCGAATAAAGGGTGCATTATCGTTATTGAGAACGAGAAGAAGGAGATGATTCCCACCCGTATCACTACTGGGTGGAGAATGCGTATTGACTATCTGCGACTCAATGCCGTGACAAAGAAGGACCATTTCCCGCTGCCGTTCATCGATCAAATTCTCGACCGTCTCTCCGGCCACCAATTTTATTGCTTCCTAGACAGACTTTCCGGCTATTACCAAGTAGCCATAGCACCTGAGGACCAACCGAAGACCGCTTTCACATGCCCATTCAGTACATTTGCTTTTAGACGGATGCCTTTTGGACTTTGCAACGCACTTGGAACCTTCCAAAGGTGCATGTTCTTCATATTTTCCAACATGCTCGAGGACTTTCTACAGGTATTTATGGATGACTTTTCTATATTCGGTGATTCATTTTCTCATTGTCTCCGTAAATTATCTCGTGTTCTTGAGCGTTGCATCGAGTCTAATTTAACATTGAGTTGGGAGAAGAGTCACTTCATGGTAAAAAGTGAAGTCGTGTTAGGGCATAATGTGTCCAGTCGGTGGATAGAAGTCGATAAAGCGAAGGTTGATGTGATAGAAAAATTACCCCCTCCCGTGAATGTGAAAGGTGTTAGAAGCTTCTTGGGTCATGCAGGTTTTTATAGGCGATTCATCAAAGATTTCTCAAAAATTAGCCAACCATTGTGTCACTTGATTGCTAATGATGTGATGTTTGTGTTTGATGATGCATGTTTAGATGCTTTCTATAAATTAAAAAATAAGCTTGTGACTGCGCCTATTGTTATTGCTTCTGATTGGTCTTTACCATTTGAGATTATGTGTGATGCGTCAAACCTTGCGGCTGGAGCCGTTTTGTGTCAACGAGTTGATAAATTACTCCGGGTAATTTATTATGCTAGTTTGACCCTAAACGGCGCCAAATTGAATTATACTACCACTGAAAAAAAAACTTTTAGCCGTAGTATTTTCTCTTGAGAAGTTTCGGTCTTACATTTTGGGATCGAAAGTGATAGTTCATTCCGACCATGCGGCTCTTAGGTATCTTTTGAGCAAAACTCAATCGAAACCTAGACTTATTTGGTGGATTTTACTTTTACAAGAATTTGACGTAGAAATTCGAGATAGAAAGGGTTGTGAAAATGTTGTAGCGGATCACTTGTCTCGTATTGTTCCTTTCGATTCTTCACTTGCATTGCATGAGAATGTTAGTATTAATGATGATTTTCCGTATGAGTGAGTGGGTGAAGTAACTAGCCATCCGTGGTATGCGGACATAGTGAATTATTTATCCGATGGAGTCTTGTTGCCTAACCCCTCTTCCCAGGAGAGGAAACGATTTGTTTCTATGTGCAGGAATTATTTTTGGGACGATCTGTTCCTTTACAAGATGGGAAAAGACGAGATTCTTTGGAAATGCGTGCGCGAAGAGGAGCAGTCGGATGTTCTTGCTTTTTACCACGAGCTTCATTGCGGAGGCCATTTTGGAGGTCGAAAGACCGCCTTTAAGGTCCTCCAATCAGGTTTATTTTGGCCTACTATTTTTCGAGATGCTCATAACTTTTGTAAATCTTGTGACCGTTGTCAAAGGGTTGGGAATATAAGTTCTAGAAATGAAATGCCTCTAGTTAACAATCTTCAAGTTGAAATCTTTGATGTTTGGGGCATTGATTTTGTGGGACCCTTTCCTAAATCCTTTGGTTTCGAGTATATTTTGCTTGCCGTAGATTATGTGTCCAAGTGGGTCGAGGCTATCCCCACAAGGACATGCGACGCTAACGTAGTGATCAAGTTTTTGCAAGGTAATATTTTGAGCAGGTTTGGGTTTCCACGGGCCATCGTGAGTGACGGGGCCAAGCATTTTTGCAACCGCATATTCGAGAAGTTGACGAAGAGGTACGGCATATCGCATAAGGTGGCAACCCCATACCATTTACAAATGTTGGGCCAAACGGAGACGAGCAATAAGCAAATTAAAACCATTTTTGAGAAGACGGTGAACTCGTCCCGGAAAGATTGGTCTCGTCGACTCGACGATGCATTATGGGCCCAACGGACAACATATAAAGGAGTTTTGGGGATGAGCCCTTTTCGGCTCGTCTACGGAAAAGCGTGCCACCTCTCTGTCGAGATCGAGCACAAAGCATTTTGGGCGATAAAGAAGATGAACTTTGACCTTGATGCCGCCGGAAGAGAGCGAATGTTGCAGCTCTCGGAACTCAAAGAATTGAGGAACTAGGCGTACAAGAATTCAAAGATTTACAAGGATACAGTCAAACAACTCCACGACGCTCGTATTGTCCGGAAGGAGTTGGTACCAGGCATGCAAGTTCTCCTTTTCAATTCCCGACTTCATTTATTTTCGGGAAAACTTAAGTCTCGGTGGAGTGGCCCGTTTGTTGTTGATGAAGTTCTATCTTTTGAAACCCGTCAACCGGTGAATTATTTGTTGTGAACGGACAAAGGATCAAGCCTTACTTTGGAGGAGAAGTCGGAACGAAGCACGTCGAGACCGTAGATCTCGGCGAACCACAGTATACTTGATCGCGAGAGTGCCAAGCTCCCGAAAATAAATCGAGCACCCTTGTACTTATTTTATATATATATATATATATATAAATATTTGTTCGCCGCGGCTCGCGGAAGTTCTCGCGGCCGTGGACCATTTTTCTGCTCCTAAAACTCGCGGCCGCGGAATCTTTGTTTGTCGCGGCCAGTGGAGTCACTCGCGGCCGCGGAAGGCGCGTTTTAAAGAGAACCTCGGGCAGAATTCCTTCAGTTTCACCGAAGACAAATCCTCTCAACCCACCGGCTATTTTCTTGCTCCAAACACACCAACAATCGAAATTCTCTTCCCAAATACTTGCAATATTTCGAAAATTCGATCATCCGCACTCCTCATCACCGGTTCTACACGAGAATTCTTACCACAAATTGGTACTGCGACTTCAAAAACCTAGCTCGCCACCAAAACAGCAACTCCCTCCGGCGCCTTCTCCGACAGCCACTCTCACCGGCGGTTGTTCCCTCCGACCACGAACAACAACCGCACCGACCACTCCCCACCACATCATCTCCTTCGAGCATCGAGTTCATTATTCCACAGCATCTATTCGGACTCCATCTTCTGGTAATTCGAGGAACGAAATTGATTCAATTATTGAGGTTGGTTTGCTGAAGGCTTTCTGTTGACGTGAGTCTATAGTGGTCCACCATTTTTGCGTTCATTTGAGCTCTCTACTAAAACATCCTGCTCACAAGGTGTTTGTCGAATTACCGGAAAGACATCACCATGGGTAAAACTTCGGGACGTCAAACGAATACCGATCATGGCGACTCTTCTAATCGCGGGAAACGGCAATTGGCCCAATCCTCGGGCAAAGGGAGCCGCGATGCCCCTCAAGGGAAGTGAGCGGACGGACCTTCGACAACAATACGGTGCTTCTTTCCCAATTTACTCGAGGAAAGAAGGCGAAATATATTCCCGTCTTTCACAAAAGGAGTTAGTTCGGCCAAAGGCGATTGACTGGGACGTTTTGAGGAGCTTGGGAATCATTAGTGACGTTAAGAAGTACCTGGGGGTACTAAACCTTCTTAACTATACCCAGATTGAAGAATCTTCGTATCAAAGCCTTATGCTCGAGTTCTTTAACACGTTCGTGCTTGCCAATAGTAATGAGTATTTCACTTGCGGACTGCGGGGGGAAGATGTGAAGGTGGACAACGATGTGATGAAGAAGGTCTTTGGGTTCAACTTAGTTGGTAAGCGAAGCAAACCGGCAGACTTTAACGCCAAGAAGAGTTGGACCGAGCTTTCTCTCCATACATCTTGGGACCCACGCGGCATGCCGAATGGGCTCATTCAAGACTTGGCCACAACTGTTGTGCACAGGTTCATAGGTTATAACATCACTGGAAAAAGGAGGCAAACAAAGTTAGTGAAGCCGAACTCTATTTTCTATGGGCGATGCGTGTAGGAGTGAAGGTGTGTTCTATGACCTTCTTACAAGACTCTCTACAAGATATTGCACTTAATCAACGTGCCATTCCGGCTCTCAGCCATGTTGTTACGCACAGGCTAAACATTTCAGAATCCCTGCTTAACCCGTCTTTATTGACGCAACGTGGTCGGTGGAGGGCGCTCCAATGCGATGCCCTAACGAGCATGAGCTCAAACAGGCCGATCTCATTTAGAACTGAACCACCCCTCAGGAGTATACGAAGCGTAAGGCTTACGACACCTATTTCAAGAAAATCAAAGGCAATGAGGCGCTTAACACTAATCAGACCGGGACATCCCGGCAATCATCGGATGATGACGAGCATGAGCAGATGCATATAGATAACGACCACCTTCTACCACCACCATCCAACCAGAAACCAGCCTCGCACCAGCAAACCGAGGGCCCACCACAACACCGCAGGAATGGTGGGTGACGTACCAAAACCAATGGACCTCATTCCAAACCCAGTATGCCTCCGACATCTGAGCCATTCATACCCGATTTGATGCCCAAGACAGTAGGTGGGCCAGCTTCGAGAGCCGGCAGAACACTCAGTGGGCCAGTTGGGAGACACAACAGAGGACTCAGTGGGATCATTAGGAGACCCAGCAGCAGACCTAGTGGACTAACTTGGGCTCCCGCTTCGACAGCTTCACTGACGGTCTCCAGTGTATTCGCGAGCGCCATGATCAACAAGACGCTCGTATGGACCGTTGGGACCAGCGATTCACCCAGTGGGACACCTATTGGGGTTCGGGATCGAGTAACCCCTATCCTCCACAGCCACCACCATCGGACACACAGTGACTTGTCACTGTGCTTTGTACGTCTTTCTTTCCCTTTCTCTTTCCTTTTGTACAGTTCGTTTTATTTTCGAGTCAGTTGATTATGTGGTTTAATTTTTCTGCACTTCGGATAGACAATAGGTTTACGTGACTATGTGGTTGATCAGGTTTAGTTTTTTTCTTTTTAGGATTATTTTTATTTATTTTCTTTTTAGGATTATGTGTTGTGTCTTTTTGAGTTTGGACTGTGGTGAATTGTGAGATTAGTCAATAACGGTTGATTGAGTTAAGAAGTTGCGATAATGTGAATAAGCGATGTATCTCGATGAAATACTTGGTTGTTTTGTTTGACAAATATTTTACCTTGTGAGGTTTGAGCCATGTTCGTTTCTTTTCTTGTGTGATATTGGTCGAAATTGTTGTCAAGGGCTTGCCTTGAGTCTACTTTGAAATAAATAAGTCGAATTTGTGCTATGTGAACATGATTGAGGCATTCTTTGTGTTACCCTTATTTTTGTGAAAATAAATCCGCTAGTCATCCCCTTTGAGTCGTATTAATTCTTTCTTAAAATACCCCGTGATGATGATATTTTGAGTTGCGAATGGTATTGTGGAGATTGGGAGGTGATTAGTATCGATGTTGTATATATTGATAAAAAAAAAATATCGAAATGAAACCAAAGGAAAATGAATATCCTAAGGTTGTCATTTATAAAAAAAAAAAAAAGAGAGAGTGAATAATGAGGATAGTGTATTGGTTTTGAAGATATGGGAGAAAATGGTTGATGATTGACAACCGGAAAAGTTTATGCTCATGGTTAGGTGAATGAATGAAATGAATTCGATTTTTATTTAGCCACTTAGCCTATATTTATCTTACCCGGTCCAAAGAGCGTACGTTACATCCTTAAAAAGTCCTCTTGATTCACTATTGCATGAATTTGATTGTTTTAGAGTAAGAGTTAGACGATAGAAAAATTTATGATTGATTCGATTGGTGACCAATTTCAGCGTACCCTGTTGATATTTGTGAAAAAAAATTGAGTGAGGCATATATGATATACTTTTGCACTTGAGAGTCTATGTAATTCAAAATAATTATTAGTCGAGGTGTGTTCTTGTGATGATGTAGCAAAAAACAGAATTCAATTCCAAGTCCGAATGAGCGTATACGAGCCCGAATAACGAATCGGCAAAATTCCTTCACCACGGCCGCGAGGTGGGTGGCGGGCCGCGAGATAGACCACGAGGCGCGAAGTGGGCTGTGAGGCGCGAGGTTTTTTCTGCGTTCTGAAGTCGCGGCCGCGAAGCATGTCGCGACCGCAGAACTGCTCTTCGCCGCGGGCCGCAAGACCCTCCGCGGTCGCGGAACCTGGAAATTGCAGATTTTGTGGCTTGTTTTGTGAATCAAACACCTGAAAAATGGGATTGGAGACTATAAAAACATCCTCCATCTTCATTCTTGGGGATCTATCACCATTATTCATCATCTTTCATCATCTTCTACACCATCTTTTTCTTCATTTCTTTATCTTAAGTTTGTATTTTTGTTTTGGAGAACTATTTGAAGACATTGTTGTACATTGGATTAAGTTTTCATTTGCTCTTGGATTTCACATTACTAGTAAGTTATTTCTTTCATTTTGTTATGTTGAGAATGACTTATTTTTATGTGAATGTTTATGTTGAGATTATTATGAACAACTAATCCTTTAGCTAGGGTTAGGGGATAATCGTTGCGGTTATTTCTTGTTTATGTATGTCAATTGCTCAATCTTTGCGAGTTTATTAATCTTATGATTGAATGTTTGATCACCATTTTAATCTATACAATCGATTTCAAAACCGAGAGGGGCGAATGATGGGTCTACTTCTGGATCTGGAGTAAACCGGTGGTTATGAGCTCAGATCTGCTTGAACCGCCTTGAAACCGTTGCTAGACCGCAAGAATACCTGCAAAAACTCAACGCCGGAGGTGTTTCCGGCGTAGAGCCTCCGACGCTCAAGTCAATATGAGAGTGATGAAGAGAGGCTGCGCAGCAGCTATGGGGGAGAGTGGGAATGAATGAGAGTTAGGGTTTGGGGTACCTCGCCTCCTTTATATAGGAGTGAATACTTACTTGAAGTGCCCAAAATGCCCAAGTCGGTGGACCTAGAAGGTCCAAAATGCCCCTGTCGATTCGTCTCCCCTTAGTTGCTGAGTCATCGCAAGATTCCTTCTTATCCTCGGTAATGTGTAGGGCTTTGGATGTGTTGCAAGTGTGGCGAATCGTCTTCACCCCTTTGATCCTCGAGATGTATAGAGTCGACCTCGAGGACGAAGAGGTCGACTCACGAATATACGATTTCGGAGGCTACACCTGGTTGAACTCCCTGCGGTGGTCATCTCTTAGGGAGTCGTTATGAGGAAGTCGACTAGTGGGAGTCGACTTAGAGTGTCTGGATGGTTGGGAGTTGCATTCTTGATGTCCTTCTAGTATGAGGTCGACTAGCAGAAGTCGATAGTTAGAAGTCGACTTGTGAGAGTCGACTAGACCGATTTCTGCCTCTCCTCGATTGCTCTCGGTAGGGTCGACTCTAGGGAAGTCGATTGGTCATGCCGGCGGAGTCATGTCGACGTACGAATCGTTCGAGTGGCTCGCCGGTCGAGTAAGAAGCTTCTAGACCGGGTTAACCTTATGTGGCTATATCATCTAGTCCCCCCCGAAAATTACTCTAAGCAGTCGACTGCTTAAGAGTAAATTTGGTGATGTGGTTTCGCTGTCTCCCTGCGATACTTGCTCGTCTTCGTCCTCTTTGATAACTCGTCTCGTCAATCCATCGGGGCGCCTCTCAACCTCATGATTGCTTTTACGGATAAGTCTGACACTCTGACAGCCCTTTGAAATTTCAAATTTCAAATTTCAAAAACCCTAAGTGACGCGCGTCATCCCCACCGCCGACTCCTCGAATTCTACGCTTTATCTGGGTCGTTGATTCCGCTTTTGATCTAACGATCCGCCTCTATTATTCTCGAGTATAAATGCATTGCGCGTCTACCTTGGGTGGCTTTTCACGCTTCCAACTTTTCGAGCTCTGAACTGCTTCTAACTCTCCGGTGCTTTTTGTGCTATTTGCTCTCCGGCGTTTCCTTCTCCGGTAACTTCAGGCTTATTCGCAGTTCAAAACAACTACGCCATCATGTGTAAGTTCTTTATCTCCTTTACTTTTCGCGTTTTTGTTGGTTTTTTCCTTTTTCAATTTTTTCTGGGTTCTGGGAATTTTCGTGTGTTCTTCGTGTTCTTCACGGATTTCTCATGAGTTTTGCGTTGGATCCTTTTACGCGCATATTCTATTAAGACTTAATGTTTTTCGCCAGTCGTCGGCTGCTGATGAGCAGTCGACTGTCACCTGTCGCCGAGTTGGCTATTGTCGACTTAGTGGCCTTCTTTCTTCAGTTTTCTCTTTCCGAGTCGACTAAGGTCGACTTACTAGTTTATTTAGGTCGAGATACCGATAGCGATTGCCCCTTCTTTGTCCTTTCTTCTTTTGTCGATTGTTGCGAGTCGCCCTGATTCGATCTTGTAGGCCCTTACTCGTGATTTTACTAACTTCGACCTTCTCCTCCTTTTTCTTTCTTTAGCTTCCGACTCGTCTCCTCTCTCTGGCTCCCTCGGTCAGCAGATCAACGATTATACTTGTCAAGCCGATGAGGGTTCTAGCTCTGATTGTGTCGAGGTAACCGGCTATAGGGTGGTTTCACTGCCTTCCCATTCTTTTCCTCCTCTCGCCACTGCCTCTTCTGCCGACTGGGAGCAGTACGACCAAGCGCTCTTGGCGGGTGGCTTAGTCGACATCGTGAAAAGCCCTCCTCGAGGAAATCTTCCTTGTCTCGATATCATTCCTCGAGGTATTCCTCTTAGGTTCTTAGATATCCCTGTTTATAGAACAAGCCCTGTATCTGTACCAATAGTTGTTCCTCTTCTCAATTCTCAAAATACTGTATCTATAGCTTGTCCCTTGGCTAGGTTAGCTGTTCTAAATCCCTTTTGTTATGCCTCTGCAGCCGAAGTCGAGGGCTTCAGAAAGTTCAGCGGGCTTCCCTCGGATTGGGAGTTAGTCGTCCCTGGTCCTAACGACGATTTCGCTCATCCTCCTCCCGGCTGTCATACATTTTTTATAGATCAAGTCGTCTTTGGTCTTCGCTTTCCAATCCAAGACGAGCTAATACTGATAAGTAACTTGTACAATATTCCCATAAATCAGTTTTCTCCTAACGCCATCCGTATTATGATAGCCTTTATAGTCGTCTCCCGAATAATACTCAAATTCTTCTCGCCCGAGTTTTTCTTTTATTGTTACAGTTATCGTCTTTCCAAAGGCGCCCATTGTCTGGGTCGTCGCGCCGGCGTCACTTTCCTCGACGATCTTTCGTCGAACGTGACTGAGTGGAAATCGAAGTACGTATTTATTCGACCTGCTCCTGGCATGTATCCCTATGTTAATAAATGGATAACCTCGAAAGTTAAACAAAACAAACGGCCCAAATCTGACGAGTTCGCTACTCTGTTGGC